GGAAGGAAGGAAGGAAGGAAGGAAGGAAGGAAGGAAGGAAGGAAGGAGGGAGAAAATTAGAAAATCCAGCAGATTGCATCCACGTTGCGGGGAAACCATTTAAAATGTGCATGTTGAGAATGTTAGTGCTATAGACTAATATCCTATAGACTGGATCAGCACATTCACTTCACTAACCATATGACTTTCCTTACTAGCTGCTGTGGTCTGTGTGACACTTCTTGACAGACTCGAGAGTGACCAAATCAATTTGTCCCATGATGTCCTGGTGGAGTACCAGCAACGACCACAGCTCTTGATCTCAAATTTCATCAAAAAGCAACTTGGACTTTGTGACTAGATATCATAACTCTGAACCCCTCCCCTCTCCTGCGAGTCAGTACATAGAGCTGCAACAATGGAGCCGTGTGTTGATTATAAGATTTTTGTGTAATTCTCATCCTTGGGCTAAAATCATAAAAGATATTTTATGAAATCTTTTATCTTAAAGTTCAATTTATTGTAAGAGAATGTAATACCCGTGTGAAATTAAGTTCAAATTCCATTTTGGAATGAGTTAGCTAAAGCAGTCTAATAATTAATATTTTAAACTCATGAAATGTGACATTTGGAGTTTCACATGTAGCATTAATTAAGCTTACATCAAAATAGATGAGCCATTTGTAGATGGTTCCCAGTTGCTTGCTGAAGCAGATCCAGAAGTGTATGTTAGGATGGTGTCAGCACTTCTAGGTGTTGGACAAGTGACAAAAATTGATCATGCACATTCAAAATATTTACAAAAATGTGTCAGTGTAATATAGACCAGTGTGGAAGAATTATCCTTGGGGAAATATGGCAATCCCTTTTCTCCTGTCCCTGTGCAGTTTCAGTATACACAGAATTGAATTAGAGGCATATGAATGTATGTTCTGTGAGAATCACAGAACATCACAGCTTGAGATTACACTTTTTTTTTTCAAATGAAAACCATCGGTAATGCAAAGACATTTGTTTCCCATTCCCCACCCCGAAATCATAAGTGACTCAATTGCCTTCTCATAATCATTTTATTTCTATAAGGAATTATGTCATGAGAAAACTATATTCATTGCTTCAGTAAGAACTGAATAATCTGCAGAATTAGTTAACAACCAAATTTAAACTCAAAATCAAGACAGTGACAGAATCTGTCTGTCTAACTTCAAGGCAGGTCTCCTTCAGAGCCTGCACCTAACCCTTCCCTGGTTGACCTTGAGAGGCTGCAATGCAGCAGAGGCTCCAGGAGTTGACCCACCTTCGAGGTTCTTTTGAACATTTAGAAATTGGAGAGACTGGTTAGGGTAAGAGTGGAGGAGGTCTTGCACACTTGTATAGTATATAATGTTGTGTGTGTATATATATATGTATATTTATATGGTTATGGAATGAATAAAATGTATCTCTCACCATGCTGCTGAAATCTGGTTCATTTGTCCATTGTACGTGGTTGAATAGATGCTCAAGGCAGGATTCCATGCTGGAGACAGCAGGCTCCGGGCTGTCTGAACTGGCCTGTGCCTCTGACAAGGATGGATCTCTTCTTTCAAGCAGCAGTAATAAAGGATCCCCTAGAAGGTGCTTTGGTTTGTGAACTTTTTTGGCAGCAAGAATGCTTGGAGTGCAACTTTCCAGTCCTCCCAATAATTGACCATCAAACACAAACATCTGAACTCCAGTATCGAAGGGCAAGGCAGTGGAGCATCCACTTGCTTAGCAGTGATTTTTTCCCTCAGCTCCCTATTTTGTTAAGTGGAATCCACTTCAAAGCACTTCTAGAAGCTTTTGGGTTGAACTTTTATCTGGCTGTCCTTGACAGTCTTGTTTGCTTTCTGCCTTGCCTAGAGAAGGAGAGATTCTGAGAACGACATGAATGAAATAGTTACCACTTAACCTTCCTGTTGCTTCCTGACTGGGTGTGCTAACGTTTTCCTTGCCAGCTTGGTAGTCCCTATGTCAGCGTGGTAGTCGCTATGACAGCAAATAGTGTCCGTCCGGATACCTGCAAAACTACTCTGAGGAGTCTGTCTTCCTCATTCCATCCTTCAAACAGCCCAGGAGTCAAATGAATGGACTCTCCTGCATCCCTTCTCAATTTGTCCCCACCCCTGCCACCCCCCCATTTTCTTCTACCTCATTATTCCAAGTCCACATACCACTTTCTGCCAGGGTCTCGCTCTCTCATCCCACCTGGGTCTCACTCTCACGATAGATAGCCATGCCTCTATTCTCGAAGTTCAGTTAGGAGCACTAGGTGGATGGGCCATACTTCAACTCCTGTTCCTGGTTTAAATCTGAGCTCAGCTTTCCCTTCCTCCTGAGCCTACAGGGGATCCCATGAAGCCTTCCTTCTCTCTGTGTCCCCTACTACTTCTTCAAAGTACTCATCACAACTTGAGTTTTACTGTGATTTAGGTCACTGTTTAATGGATGGTTAATGCCTTGACAGTAAGGTTCTGGAGGGCCAAGACTACATCTGCTTTATTTATTGCTGTACTGTCTGTCTCTGGGTACCTAAAAAACTGCCTATCAATTGCTCAAATGAATATTTGTCAAATGAGGAGTATATGTCTGCCAGAGCACTTCCCTTACAAACTCTTACTGTCATGAGCAGGGTATGGGTGTCAATTGATTTGCTCCAGGACACTGCCTTGTGGTTCTCAGCATCGGGCCATATTAGAGTCTGTTAGGAAAATCTTTCAAAAACATCACCTGAGGCCTCACTCAGACCAACCCAGCAGGACTCACTGAGAGTGGGCAGTGGTAAAACATAGCTGGGAAGACAGCGGTTGATTTAGAAGAATGTGTCCTGTGGGTACCCCTCCAGCTTTACTGCTAAGTGCCTTTGAACTGCTCTCCACTGGAACAGTTGTCAGAAGAGTAACTCCTCGATGCCAAAAGTCCTATCTTAATCCCTTTATATTTCAGCCGCTGACTGATGCATAATAAGGCTGGATGTATTAAGCATATATGTGTGCATGATTGCCTATACGTATTAATACTATAAGAATCTCATATAAGTCAAGAATACCTTGAGATGGAACCCTTTCTATAGGGATATATGCCAGTACTTAATAATTCTCACAGCCTCTACAAAGACTGCAGCTTTAGAAACATGGTATTCAGCTAATTTTGCTAACAGGCATCACATGTTGGGTAGAAATGAAAACTTGAATAAAAGATAAATGAACTCCATTGCTTGCCTCCAAGGCACAAGTTCTGTCTTTTGTCACAGAAGGAAATTAAAACTGCCTAACACATACTGAGTTTCGGCAAGCCATACTGTTCCTCTGCAGGATCCAGCATGCCTCTGGACGTATCATAAGTAGACGTTTTGAAGATCTGGCCTACAATCTTTACATCAGATTTAAAGCTAAACAAGCTGATCTTGCTAATAAGTTTTCTTTCGGTTCCCTTTAATATATATATATATTCCCTTTAATATATATATATATATAGTATGTGTGTGTGCGCGTGCGCGTGCTGCTGGCATGTGTGTCTGCACACACATGCACATACACACATACTTCATTCCTTTAGGACTCTTTATCTTTTAGGAATCCTAAAATAATAACAGAGTCCTCATGACAATGTCTCCTAAAATGAATATCTGGAAAAATGTATAATTTTCAGTCTGCTTCCTTGTTCACTTCCCACTGATTCCCCCACTTCTGATGTATTCTACTCAGTAGATGCCATTCAATACAGAATTAACATTTATGTTTCTACAAGTAGAGCATAGCAATTTCCCCCTAAGAACAAACCCCACCATTTAACTGCTTTTTCTTCTGAAACATTAAATGTAATATTAATAATATTTTATGAGTATCAAGTAGTTTTAAATTTCATTAGATGAAAAACCTTGAAACCAGGATCATATATTTTGTGGAGAATTGGTCTAGAATTACCCTGCCAAATATTAATTTAAGATTGTGCCTGTTTTTCTCAGAAGTCAGGTTTTCTATGAAAATATCTTCTCTCAAAGCTTAATTGTTAACATTTTGAAGCACTATGGCTATTCCAGAGTAATAAAAATTATCTAAGTCCTCCATTCTTGTTCTGTCTCCCATTAGACCATAAAGAACAGATCTTTAAAAATGTAGGTTATACTTTTTCATTTGAGAGCAAAGCCACCTTGGAGTTACATCCAACCCCCGCCTCACTCCCCTCCACCCACATTACAAACCACAAAGCAATGATAAAATAAGAGCAAGAAGATGGGTTAGAGAGATGGCTCAGTGGTTAAGAGCACTGACTGCTCTTCCGAAGGTCCTGAGTTCAATTTCCAGAAACTACATGTTGGGTCATGACCATCTGTAATGGGATCTGATGCCCTCTTCTGGTGTGTCTGAAGGCAGCTACAGTGTACTCACATACATAAAATAAATAAATCTTTAAAAAAAAAAAAAAAGGACAAGAAGCCTGTCAGTCAGGGCCTCACTTTGGGCAAAAGGTCAGCGTGACCACCATGCACCTACTCAGGCTTGTTCCCTGCACTTCACGGGCTGTTTGTCAGCACTATCTGCCTTTTTCCCATGAAGATTCCAGAAGGCTCAAGCCAAATAGAACTATTTCTGTGATTGTTCTAAGGTTTTAATGGCATGGACTCCAAGGAAGCAAGCAAAGGGCAGACCAAACAAATACACATCTTAGAAACCAATGCTTGTAAGTCACAGGTTAGGTATCAAGAGACAGCAAGACAGTCGCTTCGGTTAAGCACTTGTATACTTGAAGCCCCAAGACTAACACGGGAGTCACTATAAAAAAGAAAAAAACCCGAGTGGCCATGTACATATGAGAGGGTTTCCTGAACAAGGTGAGCATTTGAGATGAACTTTACTTAAGGACTAATTTTGGCGAGAACTCCGTGCAAGGCATTAACAGATAGGATAGGAGAAAGGAAAAAGACGGACTCCACCTCGGCCGGGTCTGGAAACATAATTTGGGTTATATGTTCTATGAGGATATTGGACTTACTGTGCTGGCAAATGGGGGGGCAGTTACTGACAGGTGTATAATAGGGGCAGTCAGGAGTCTGTCAAGGGGAGATGGGGGAGGGAGGGAGAGTGGGAGATAGGAGCCTTCAGCAAGAAAATTTGCCCAAGTTCAGGGAAGTAAGACTGGGCCACCTACATCCCATAATACCCAAAGGGAGAAAGATTAGAATACCTCCAAATTCATTATTGTTGCTGTTTACATTAGCTACCTCACACACACACACACACACACACACACACACACACACGACAGAACAAACGGCTTCAAATTGTCACTTTATAGGTCAGTTTCTCCATTTCAGAATAAAAATCTTTTTCATGTAAAGATGATATGTTTCCAAAGTCTCCTCTTGCTGAGAGGCCACAGAGGATCCAAATGTGACAGAGCTAGGCCGCCAGATGTGGAAGAGAATGGTGTTTAAAGCGCTGATGAGTGAGAGATGCCAGTGATGACGTCAGCATCTCTGAGGTAGAGACCCTGGCAGCAACTTGGCTAACACAAAATTAGCTTCACAAATGCTGTATGCATAAAGCACAGCTTATTAAAAAGTGAACTCTCAGGAATCTTCTGACGTGTGCTGCAAGAGGCTTGAACCTCTAACACATTGTGCTAAGTGAAATAAGCCAGCCACCAAAGAACAAATATTGATATAGGAAGTTCTTAGCATAATCAAATTCAGAGAAAAAGCAGGTAGAATAGCGGTGTTGGGCCTAAGGGGAAGAGAAAGGCGGATTCTTGCTGAACAAATACAGGCTTCTCATTTTGAAATAGTAAGAGCTCTAGAGGTTGTGATTATGGCTGGCAATGAATGTAAATGTCCATACAGAAAGGTTGAATGGTAAAAGTGGTTTAGTGCACACACACACACACACACACACACATACATACATACATACATACACACACACACACATGCATATGTACATATCGGAAATTTATACTGCTATGAGTAAAGGGTTCAATCTTTTTGGTGTTTTTTATAATAACCACTAGCATTACGGATTTCTAGGGAGAAAGTCCATGTCTTATTTTCATACCTGAGAACTGGTATATCTACATGTCAAACAAAAGGCTCTGAGAAGTTTCCTTAAGCTGGGAGACCAGAGCAAACAGGCTGGGTCCCAGCAGGAAGAATGGACCAATATCTATTTTTGATACAACAAGGTATCTGCAAGGAGCCTTGAGCTTTGAGTCAGACAGCCCCAACCCTCTGGCTCAATTTATCTGACTGAAGTCATTTTTCAAGGTATAATACATCAGAGGTAGGAATTCTGATATGACTTGCGTATCAGCAGCTATCAGAAGGGATGATTAAATCTAAATGACTCACTGGAGAAAACAAAGAAGAAAGGCATCTGAGACTATTTCTACAGGATCAACGTCTGCGGGTTTAAATGAAATTTCCCTGTGCCAGCCCAATATGTA